AATGATGATCATCCAAAGAGGTTGAAGACTTCCACCAGGAACAGTCTGCTGGTAAATTTCACTGGAACTAGAGGAAAATTTAAGCTTTAGCCTCAAATCTGTTGACTCTATTGTTCGCCACCACTGAGCAGCATAACAACAGACTATTCAGACCAAGGAGAGTCACTCAGACTCGTAAAAACCCTTCTCTTAATTGGATATCTGCCGGGACAAAGAAAGAGTGCAGTCAACTGTTTTAATTTCCTACCAAGAAAGGCGTCCAAACAGCTGAGCTCAACAATTCCTCTGCTCTTCCAGGTTCAGCCAAGCAGTCCAGCTGATTAAATCAAATCTTCTAATTTACTTATCGCTCACAATTCCCAGAATTATGTTTTATTCAACGCGAGACAATGTTAGGAATGATAATCACTGATCTCAAGCGATAACAGAATGTTTGCAACTTGTTAAACAGAAGAATAATAAGTGATCTGATTTATTTTCTTCTTCTCCGACAGACCAAACAGATGGAGATCAAGATGTTCTCTAAAGCTGGGAGGAGGAAAACTGGGGAATTTAAGACAGTAAGACAAGAAAAAGGGACACAGCTCCAGCAGTAATGCTGTATAATCACTCTTCTGTGGTTAAGTTTAGTCTTTTATTTGATTCTGATATAATTTAATCAATTCCATCTGTCAAAGTTTTTATTTCCAACCATCTTTAACAGTAAAATCACCAACTATTAGATTTACAGGTTTTCAGGTTATGATTTTTTTTTTATCTCTTAATTTGACCTATCATTTATTTCTGTTTATTTATGTCCTGCCATATGACTTCATACTTTAGTGTTTAGTTTCTGTTTATTCTTTTGTTCTCTTCTTTTTACATTTAGTTTTGTTTCTGTTTCAATCTCTGTGTATCTTTTCGCCCTAATTACTAGTTCATTTTTGGAGGTTTCTTCCTGTTAATAGGGAGTTTTTCCTCTCCACTGTCGCTACAAGCATGCTTAGTGTGAGGTATTGCATCCAAGTCAATGAGTCGATGCAATCAACTGGTTTTCCTTAGATAGAAAACTTTGAATCAATATGGAGTGTGTCTTTAACCCTTCGGATAATTTTTAGTAGGCTTCCCTGTGGGGCTGCTGAGGAATTAAACGTACCTTGTTTCAATTGCTATTCCCCATTTTTAGTTCAAAAACCGCAGAATGCCACAACATCAGGAAGCTAAGGTTATAATGCTGACACAAAGTGACCATACGCCTATTTGCCTTTCACATCCATATTAAGTTAAGGTGCTCAGTTTCTTCAGTTGATAGGAAACTGTAAATCAGGGAATCACCTGCTCAGGTGTGAATAAAATCTTACCTCAAAGGCTTAGTGGAGGATGTTCTTTTTCCAGGTGGATCATCAAAATAAGTGGTCCTCCTAACTGTCAATCATTCTGGGGATATGTTTACGTAAGGCCGTCCTATGTTCTCGTCCCCATTTTCACTTACCGGTGGTTAGTCTGACATAGGGCTGGGCGATATAGAAAAAAAGCTTATTGATAAAAAAAAAATGCATATTGATCGATATCGATAATTATTGAAAAGATTTGAAACCATATTTTATGTGCAGCTCTGCCTGGACTTTTTATGATATTGCTAAATTATTTAATTTTAATAAAAAACACAAACACAGACTTCGAATTAAATCTTTATTTAACCAACTTTTTTAACCATAACAGAATTGTTTTAAAGAAAAATAACTTAAGAGACCTGAGTTATGTTATTAAATACTGACAAAGAATAAACTAAAATGACCAGAAAAGTGACCAAAATAAATATAACAAATAAATAAATGGCCCCCCACCGCCACCGCCGCCCCCGTTTCCTGCTTTAACCTGAGTTATTACTTTGAAGTTTCTGGCCCCTCAGCATTTTTCTCTCAATTGTTAGAACCACGTGGGAAACTGCCCAGAACTGAAAATATATATATATTTTCCATGACTGAAATACTGCCAAACTGGCGAACTACAAAAACCTTTCTTTGGAACAATTTCCTCCGCCTCTCCTTGCTGCGACATCTTCATGTGCTCTGTGTTGTGGTTTGAGAGGGCGGCGCTTTGTGACGGCGTCCGCGATTGCGATTGGTTGGGAGGAAGTAGTGACTAGCATAAACCTACATGCTAGGCTACAATGAGAAGGAAGGAAAACTGCGTTTCTTTATCGAACTTTTATCGACCCTCTTTTTTTCTATTGCGCCACACGTCTATCGATCGATATATATCGTTATTGAATTATCGCCCAGCCCTAGTCTGACATAGTGGAAAAATTGCAAATCCTCTTTTGGAAAGTAAGCTTGTATGAGCGATGCTAAAAGCAACTTTTAAAGAAAGCGGCACAAGGAGAAATGGACTTGTGCATGTTCTCGCACACATTTAATATGCGTTCCCTGTTGGGAGTGGGCACAGGGTTGTGCTTTTTTTTGTCTGAAGTGGAGAGGGCCGGTCTTTTTTTTTAAAATCGCGAAGATCCCCCACTATACACACAGGTAAACGGAATCCACTAACTACTGAGAGCTATGAGTGCCAAAACTATGTTGATATTCTGCTAAATTCAAAAAGATTTTTACAATTGCAGTATTTCCATTAAATAACAAATACAATCAAAATTGCTTCTGAAAAAGTTCTTTCACAAAATAACTCTGAAAAAAACATGGCAGCCATGGAAGTAAAGCTGAGATGAATAGACATTCCCTCTCTAGAGTGGGTACAGGGTTGTGCATGTGCATTTCTTTTTTAAAGTGGAGAGGACAGGTCTTTTCAAAAACTCATGAAAATTCTCCACTAAACCTTCAATTTGAAAACCCCAATCAGATTAAGACATCCACATTGCAAAAAAGTAATCTAAATAAGTAATTCTTTATTTAAAATGAGTGATTTTTTTTTCTTGAATTGGGGAACAAAGTGAGACACTTTGGCATGGGAACAAGACAATTTACATTTAAAATAAGAAAAAAAACAATTGCATTGTCTTATTTCAAGTGCATATTATCTAGTTGTCTTATTTTAAGAGTAAAAATTCTAATTCTATTGGCAAATCAGCTTATTTACCTGCTTAAATTAAGGGTAAATGGACTTAATTTAAGATTTTTTAAAAACTTATTTCTATATTGTTTTTGCAGTGCAGTTTCTAATTTAAAACGCATAATGTTAAGTTACATTGATGTGTTTAAATTTATAATTTATAATTTATTGAACTGGTTTACAATCATGAGTTTGAATGTCATAAACTTGTGGAATTAAGCTGAAATATCAAAAAAGTTAAGTGTAAGTAAATAATAGAAATAAGTCATGATGGCTAATTGAGGGTATTGCTTTTTACAGCGAAGAGGGCAGAAACTGGTTATATGGAAGATGATTGGGGCAGCTGCAGCAGCTAATCAATAATAACTGGAAATCTGTCTGCATCTGTTCAATGATGCATCTCTCCAATAAATAAACCCCCATCTGTAGACACACAGTGGCTGTAAGTTAACAAATCGATATGATCATCAGATTCCAGCTGAGATGAAAGTCAGCCGACCACCTTCCAATAGAAAGTGACTGATTTGATTCCATCTCTCATATCTATGTAGGTTTTATTTACTTGATGAAATATAATTTGTTGCATCAGCATTAAAACAGCTACAGCTGCTACCTGTCCTATTATGATTCATATAGATAAGAAAAAGAAACTTTTTAGTGTTATATTAAAAAACAAACAACATAAAAATACACTCAGATCTACTATCTGCTCTGTGGGACCGACAGTGATCATTGAAACTGGCCCCTATAGGAGCCACTCTGGGTTAGTTTCTGTTGATCAGCAGGGCCCCTAAAAGAACCTGGAGAACTGGTTCATTCTAGGATCATTATTTCTAGGAACAAGTTTCACTTTAAAACTGGTTAAAGCTGATTTATGTCAGACTGAAACACAATAAAAATAGTTTTTATTTTCAGCCAGCATAAAATGCTATTTTTCTTGATTTTGGGGATATTTTTAAATTTAATTTGAATTAAAGTTTATGTTTGCTGATCTTTCTTGAAGATTATATACATTTGTCCATATTAAAAGGAGAAACTTCCCTCTCTGGAGGAAGAACTGAAGAGAATCTGAATGAAGGAAACGTTTTGAAATCATACACTCATGTAACAATCATCTGCAGATCAAGTTCACCAGTTTGCAGAAACAACAAACCTTCCGATAACAAGTCCTGACCATGACATTTCAAAAAGCCTGAAAAACGATGAAGCTCTGCTGCGCTTCTTGTTGTTTTTAGGACATATGAGCTTCTTCACATCTCGATCAAGGAGCAGAGAGGAAATTAACCTTTAATTCTGGTGACATTTTAGAGATCCTGTTTTTTTTTTGTTTTTTTTTTGTCTGACAGCAAAGAAGACTCATCATCATTAATTAATGTTTATTTCCAAAAATTATAATTAATTTGGAAACTTTAATGCGCTTTATTAAAATCTTAAACCCTTTAAAGCCAAGTGTATCATATTTAATACAAGAGTCAGAGTGATGTTTTTGTTATTGAAACACTAATTGAAATATTCAGACATGTAGTGAACAGAAAATGTATAACAGATTATACGGAATTGCCTTATGTATCAAATTTGATGCAAAACATTTATCTAATTTAACTTAAGTTTAATGACATTCTAATTTTGAGAAAATGTTAATGTTCTTTCAATTATTTAATGGTTCAGGCTTTAAAGGGTTAAATGCTTTTAGGGAAAAAAACTGCACAAGGTCCTAAAAAACCTTAATGGTTACATTTCTATGCAGTTTTAGAGAAATATTCTTATTAAAAACAACATTAATTTATTTGCCATTATTATTGTTGAAAATCAGTGTAAATAAACTTCAAATATGTGTGTAATTGAAGTATAAGCTTAGAAAGCAGCAGAGTTAAATGGATAGAGACTCTAAATGAACTCCCAGCCCAGCTGAAGTGTCAGGCCCCGGGGCCCCGAGGCTCCGGGGCCCCCAGTCTTACCTCTCCTGCCGGGGTCTGTGCAGCAGCAGCGGCCGATGAGCAGCAGCAGCAGCAGCGCGGCTCCTCCGCTCAGAAACCTCATGTCTGCGGTCAGAGCTGCAAACTAAAGTCCTGCAGGTCAGAGTTTGTGTTGCTGCATGAGCCGCTCACATCCAGAGCAGCTGAAGCTGAATGACAGGTCTGAGCGCATTTCACGGCTCTGCCCAGCAGCGCACACCTCCTCCTGCACCTCCTCCTGCACCTCCTCCCCCTTCTGCACCTCTGGCATTTCAGTTGGCTTTCAAGGATGACGTGAAAGCCATTGGTGTGAGAATGCAGGCAGGCAAATGTTTCCCAGAAAGTGAAGAACAAAAAGAGCAGAAAGGTGGGCTGCACTCTGGGGGCGCCTGGAAATAAATACATAAATAAATAAACATTTAAAACTATATGAATCGCTTTTAACAGCAACTATATGGTTCCCTGGCTAATGACAATAATCCAGCATTTATTTACATTCAATGTCTGTTTTTGAGCACAAACCGCTTTTAGCTCTCCATGTTAATGCAAAAAACAAACCTGAAAGAGTCTGAAATGCTTTATTGCTTCTAACTAGACTTTAACAACATTTTACTCCTTTCCTATCAGTGGGAGGAAGTCTAGACATGAAACCATCTAGTGTGCCATTTAATCTAGTTAGGGCTCATATTGCCTCCTGCAGATGAGAGCCCACACTGCAAAAAATTGAACTCTAATTAGGTCATTATATCTTAAAAAAAAAGTGAATTTCTTCTTGAATTGAGGAGGTAACTGAGACATTTTGCCAATGGAACAAGACGATTTACATTAAAAAAAAAAAAAAAAATTGGATTGTCTTATTTCTAGTGCCTACTTATCTTATTTTAAGAGTAAAAATAAAAATTTTATTGGTTAATCATCTTATTTATCTACTATTTTACTTATTTCTAGATCGTTTTTTGCAGTGCAGCTGTCCCCACCCATCATCACCACCTTCTCCAGAAGCACCATAGAGAGCGTTCTGAGCAGCTGTCTCACTGTGTGGTGTGGAGGCTGCAGCGCTTCAGACTGGAAGAAGGTGAGAACAGCAGAGAGGATCATCAGGGCTCCTCTTCCCTCCATTAAAGACATTTCATCCCGTATCCCCTGTCCCGAGCCCGTGACATTATCAATGACCCCTCACACCCCCACCATGGATTGTTCTCCCTGCTGCCCTCTGGAAAGAGGCTTCTCAGCATTGGACGCAGGTCCAGCAGGTTCCAGAACAAATTTTCCCCCACTGCCTTCAGGCTGTCGAACTGCTAAACTCCAACCTGGACTCTGCATCCCCCTTTTAAATAAGACACAACTCAATGTTATACTGCATTTTGAACCATATTTATTTTGCACTGAACCTTTCCATATTAATCCCCTTTTGCAACATTATTATTTCCTTTTCCCCTACACTGTTTACAAGATGATGATGGCTGCACTTTATAATGGTATTCACAGTTGTACGCTGTAAGCAACAGCATTAAAAAAAAAAAAATTATACACTCAGTTTATACAAAATGATGGTACTTTTTTTGTCTAAGTCTTAAGAAACAGGGTTAGAGGATTAACTGTATCATGAATTGTTAATAGCTCTCAGTTGCCTTTAAAAAAGAACATATTTTCTTCTTCCATCACTTCTTGAACATAATTTTCTGAATAGTCGCTTTTCCTCTCCACTGTCACTATAAGCATGCTGTGAGGGATTGCATTCGAATCAATGAGTCGATCCAATCAACTAGTTTTCCTTAGATAGAAAACTTTCAATCAATTGACTGGATGATCTGGTGAATTGTAAAGTGCCTTGAGATGACATGTGATGTGAATTACCGCTATAGAAATAAACTGAAATGAGTTGAATAAAATAATGTATCATTTGTAAATAAAATTCTTTAAAATACATTTGATGCTTCGGTGAAATCATTCATGAATGACACAAATAATATTGGTCATGTTAATGAGCTGTGGGGAACCCCACATTTTATTTAACAAATGTCTGATTCTGTTTTATTTATCTGAACATGTATAATCTGTTCTCCAAATAACTTGTGATCCATATAGAAGTAAAGCGTCCCATAGATACAGCTTTGGTCCAACACACATGACCTGTTGAGGACTGCAGATTGTTGTTGTTCTTTCTTTTTATTCTTCATTTTGTCAGCAGTCTTTGGTACTGCAGACCAGCACAACCTTCTGCAGAAATTTGCAGGATTCACTGGTTTTGTCCTGGATTGGTTCCAGTTGATGGTCAGATCTGAGCTTGTTTCCACTGGGCGGTAGTGGCTGGTATTTGGGCCGTTGTGTCTCCTGTGGTGTTCCGCAAGGATTAGTTTTCTGAGCTCTTCTTTTTAATCTGTGTATAGTATCACTTGATCAGAGGGCTCTTAATTCCTTTACATCTTCATCTTTGCCAGATCTTAAAACTTCCAGTTCCCATCTTTTAACACTTACAGCCTTTCAGAAGCGGGTCATTTAAAAGCGATCATCATATTAAACTTTTCTAACCATAACATATATCGTTTTTTTAATCCACAGCTCACCTTTGAAAGACATTATTATCTCATCTGAAAAAAATCTTCCTCTCTCCCCTTTCTGATGCAAAGAGGCCAGTCCATGCCTTCCACTCGACAGACCTGACTGCTGCATTTTGCTGCTCTTTGGGATTCCTGGCAAGAACATAGAGATTACAGTAAGGTCAGACCTGCGCCTTGAGGATCCCGATGAGTTTGTAAACATGATCATATCATCACAGTTATCTGTTCCTCTTTTTTCAACGGACCACATTAAAAACTGCTTCACTCACCCTCCTTTGCCTGCATGGTAATGCATCATATTTAAAAGATCTTCCTCTTCACCTCACCTTTCACAACACTCTGTCTCCACATCTGAGGGCTCCACAGACCGTGACATACTTAAAAAAAAAGGCTGGAAATCTTTATTTAATGCAACATTTTTAACATAATCCCTTTAATGATTTTTCCTGTCTTTTTTTGCATTGAATGGACTCATTACTTTTGTTTGTGTATTTTAATTATGTTTTATTTGCTGAAGCACTTTGAGATTTCTTTTGTAAATATAAAGTGTTCTACAAACAAATGTATAATTACTTCATTATTAAACTTTATTGCTTAAAATTAAAACCAACAAATGTCAGAAACACACGCAGTTTATTTAGCTTGATTAATTCATTACCATACATTTAGTTTTTTTCTTTTTGATGGGCTTGTTGAGTTCTTCAGCTCTACACAGCTCTATTCTTATTAATAACTTTAAAGATTTTGTTTTAAAGTGATCTGAGAAGTTTTTTATTACTGAAAACAAATCTGAAACAGAAACAAATCATTCATGAAATAAAAAAAAAAATGAAATTAAATTCCCTAACTGTAAATAGAACGATATAATAACACAATGTAAATGAAAATGCAGTGCAACTAAAGGCCTGATTGAACAAGGAAGTTTTTTTCATACAGACAGTAGAAGTGATGCTGAAGCCCCCCATTTTTTCCTATTACCACTCAGAGTACATTAACCAGACATTTTGTTTAGAAAAATGATTATTTTGGGGGTTGATGTGACGAAAGATCTTTGTCTGAGCTAACCAATTTTAAAAAACAAAATGGGTGGTGTCAATTTATCCATCCATCCATCTTCTGTCATGCTTATCCCAAGCAGAGTCGCTGGTTCTTATCTCCACTTGTCAAAGGCAACACATTGCAGGGCAACGCAGAGACAACCATTCACTCACATCTAAGGAGAATTTAGAATAACCTAACAGTCATGGACTGTGGGAGGAAGCCAGAGTACCTAGAGAGAATACACGTATGGTCAAGGAGAAGATGCAAAGGCCCAGAATCGAACCTGTAACCTTCTTGCAGCAAGGTAGCAGTGCTACCCACTGCACCACTGAGCCGCCTGTCATTTTATCAATGCCTCACTGCTAAGCTGCTCATTCACTGTTGAAAAGCTGCATGCATCGAAAATTCATGTTACACTCTGTATGACAATAAAGTTTGTGTCAGTCTAAGTTATTTATCTCTGGCACCTACAACCATTTAACACCAACCATTGGAAAAGTATTCTCTGGGAAAGCATAAAAAGTTAAAGAAACTTGTACACTATTATGATAGAAGACGTGAATCAAGGGCTTCATCTTTGGGTTTTCAGTCTCCGTCTGACTGGCACATATAAGATGAGTTCCCCCACCAGTTTCAGGCCTGAGGGGAAACAGCCCTGTTCTTTGCTTCTGTTCATTCATATCTATCAAAATGAAGCGCTATTTTTCCTGCTGAGGTCTGAGCACCAAAGACTAAGTTATTGTATTAATAAATTTCTTCTAATTGTCTTTTCTTTGTGTGAGTTTTTCCAGATTGAAATGCTGCATTAAATGTTTGACTGAAGATTGGTGCAGCTTTGCAGAAACCCACATATCCACTTTCTGCTGGTTCCTCCTGATCACCTGTGGCTCTGTGTAATCACCGCAGCTCGGTTATTATCTGAGCAGAATGAGTGATGGTTTGTTTTTGGTTTTGCAGATTAGTGTGATTATTTCTGTGATGGGAGCGGCAGGTGGAAGAGCTCCGATTTCAGTTCTGTGTCTTCCTTTTCATCACATCTAAAGGTCACAAAAACATCATGTGTTGGTAAAGGATGACACTTGGACGTTTCTGACATGAGTTTTATTCTGAGTTAGAACATTTTACATGAGAGTAGTCAGAGAATAGGTCAATGGAAATAAACCGCTGACTAAATAGAAATAAATCATGTGTTTCCTTATAACAGAGGATCTTATCACTGTTATCAATTTATCAAGACGAAAGGTTTGATCATACAAAATAACTTTGATCATACAAGCATGGAAGGGGATTAGAAGTAGTTTTCTGTAGAACAGGAAATAGAAAACATCTCTAAAAGCTAATCAGGGAGAATACAGGATTTGCTCAGGTGCGTGTTTGATTTTTAAACTGATTTATTTCTGTTTTGATTAAATTTTCCCTCTAAGGCGCCATGAGATAACCTGTGATGTGAATTGGTGCCATCAAAACAAACAGCATTGAATATAAATTTTGGGATCGCAGTAGCGAGAAAATTGATGCTGTGCAATAAGCTGCAGGAAGTGTTGTTTCAAAGTGGTTAACATTTTGTTTAAAATATTAATGTGAGTTTTC